TAAATATTAATATCAAAGTGGACTCGAGTGTTAAGCTAGAAGATATCATCTAATCACAAGGAACTTGTGAAGATCGGCTAACTTTCCATAACTTACTGCGAAAAGCAGAAGAGCGCAAAGTAGTTGAAGCATTTTCTTCGTTTCTGGCCTGCAGTTGCTCTTTCTCCTTTTATGCTATAGCATCACATCATTTTCATATGCACCTAAAAAACTTCAAATAATGAAAAGATAAGTAAAATATGATTATAATACATACATATAATATAGATATACAAAAATGAATATATAAAGGATGAATCACGCTCGCGCGAATAAAAATATGTTCTTGTTTATGCTGATGGACATTTAGATTCAGGTTTTTTAAGTAATAGATAATAATATGTTGTCTTTCTACTCTGTTTTTTTTTATACGCTTGAATAAGAAAGAATGCGAAACGTTGTAAATTGGAAGTTTCACGTTCAAATCACAGTGAAATCGTAGAAAAGAGCACTTTTGCATAAAAATTCACATATAGACATATTGCTAATCCAAGATATGGCGAATAACCCTGTAGATGTTTTATTTGAATATCTTCATTCATCTATGTTTGCCATCAAGTCACACTTATGCAAAAGAAACCCAAAGGCTATCATTTTGTTCGCAGACAAAACCAAATATATGCATGTCATTGGCTTTTGGCTGTACTTTGAAAGTTTTTGAACAAACAAATACGGTATTAAATTCCTGACATTTCTGAATTGCCCTCATTGTCGCTCTCGTTGCCCTATATAAGCGCCAGTGGTACCTGGGTAAAGTCACAGTTGAGCATAATGTTCACTTCGCATACAATTCTCCTATTCTTTGCTGTAAGTGCAGATTTGGTTTTCTCCATTAAATGTTCTGCGAAAGGCATTGCAAATTATACGTAAAAATTAGAGAAAAAAGTTGTTCTTTTGACGAGCAACCCTATTCACGAAAGTTCCAGCTCTCAGGTCAAATCTAGAATTTCATATTTTTGTTGGTTGATCTATTAAGTAATATAGTAATATATCAAGTTAAAATTTATAAAATAGTTAGTTGTATGCCTTGACAACAGCAGCTACATCTCTTAAAACGTGTATATATATCCTTAAAAGTTGAACATTTATATTTTTTAAAGGCATTTACAAATGTACAATCCTCTCCATGGGAAATGGTGGAGGTTCTGCTTGTTAGTGAGCACACAACTATGAACAAGAATTATAATGGACACGATGCCTCAGATGACTTTTATAATTTGGTGAGTGGAAAAAAGCACTTTTCATGTAGATACGCCATCTTTAATGTGTTTGCAGTTTGACGAGTTTGCTGATACGCATGGTGTTCACTATAACAAGAGACATCTCCGTGAACTTGAACTGTATGAAAGCGCAGCAGATGGTGCAACTGTGGGTAAATACGGAGCTCGACACACTAATTGTGAAGAGGTCAGAGTACTCCTTTCCTTTTAGCTTCAGGTTTGCAAATTAGTTCGTTGCAGTT